TCACAACCTGATCAATAGACCTCACAGAAATTAAAATTTTTAAAGTTGATAAAAACAATCTTGTAAGTGCAAAGTAGTTGACAAAGCTGTGAATAACTTTAAAAAATATTTTTAAGAAAAATAATTAATTTTGGACAAAAACATGAAATATTTTATGAATATAAAATGTTTTCAAGCAGAAAAAAGAATGGTGGTTTTCAGAGACTTGAGGGCGCAGAGGGAGAAATGGTGAAAGGAGAAATGTTGACCCAAAGATACAATATTTCAGCTGAACAGGAGGAATAAGTGTTAGTGATCAATTATACACACATCATGACTATAATAAACAATGCATTGTGTATTTCAAGATTGATTAAAGATTAGATTTTAAGTGTTCCTATCACAAAAAATAAGCACATAAGGTGGTGGATATGTTATTTATTCTAAAATATAAAAATGTATCAAAGCATTACATTATACCACAAATATACGCAATTCTTGTCAATTAACAATAAAAGAAAAGTTATTCATAAGAAGAGCAAACTATCTTTAGCCTTTAAAATATTAACTTTTCTTCAAAATACTGCTATAAAGCACAAAAGAAAACTGGGGGGATGGATGGGTGGATGAGTGTACGGATGGATGGATGGATGGATGGATGGATGGATGGATGGGTGGATGGATGTATAAATTGTTCAGGCTGAGGGGGCTCAGGAGGAAATAAGACCAACAGAGTTCTTGGCTTCACGGAACTCCTGTTCTAGTATAAGGTGTGTTATAGCTCAACTATTTTCTGTTACTCATAATATAATTATAATGCAACTTCTACGTGTTGTACTCATTCTTAGACTACAAAAACAGGTGAACTTTACTGTTGCACTACATTAGGGGACCATTTAGATATAAATCTAACTTCATTCCGCAAACAATAAAAACTCTTTTTCAAGTAGGCCAGAGTGAGGCCGTACCACACAGGGTTGTTTGACAGTCACATTTCTAATAAAATGTTTGAAACTCCGAAGGTAAATTCCATTGCGCGTGACATTCCCATTGCACTCTGTGCTGAAGTGATTGTCAAACAGACTTGAGAGAGGCAGGCAGAGCAGGCGGAAGAGCCTGGCAGCCCACTCAACCCATGAATCAGGAAGGAAGCGCTCAGGGAAAGATCACCCCAGGAAGCCACAGCAGGCTAAAGGCCTTTTTCTTTTCTTTTTTTCTTCTGTCTCTTCAATTCACCTCCTTGTGGATGATCAGAAAGGAAAGGAAATGAGGTGGAGGTGAGTCCATCCAAGCCAGAGTGGACAGAAGGTATGCAGGGTACGCAAGGGAGAGCTGGCACCTTAGACACGAAACACGTTGTCCTGAGCTCTGTGGAACCAGTACAGTAAGCACAAGAGGCTTTTCCTGTGCAGTGAGTTGGAATTAAACATGCTAATTTGAAGTCTCTTTCAAGTATTTTGTTTAACTCTATTGGCCTTTAATTCCTTTATATTGCATCTTTTAATGTAATGTTATTTATATATGAAGCATGTTATGCTTATTAACCAATGTACAAAAATCTAAAGTACAGATTTTCTGTAATGGGCTAATTACAGGACTTTAAAGCCACCTACTGAGTTTTGCTGAGCTTCACAACAGGTTCACTGAACTGGATAAATTTATTCAAACGTGTGGAAATGAACCCCATTCTATGTGCAATGGTACTGGGAAAACACGCAAATTATACCTCAATACCAGTTTAATGGGTCAAACAGTGAACCTGAATACTGAACTTATCTACATCTTAAAATAGCCGGGAAGCCTGTGGCAAGAAGAGGAAATGCCCTTCCGAAGGAGTTTCTCGCTGTTTGTTGTAAACAGTGCCAATAAAACAATAAGCCTGGCAATTAGGAGCGAATTCATGAAGCTCAGAAAACAGAGGTGGTTGCCTTTCAGTGACCTTTGAAAATACACAACTTTCATAACCGGACCCAGGAGTGGAAGGGAGGGATGAATGCTCGGCAAACATGAGTCTCAAGCACAGCCTTTCATCTTCTCCATGGACAACAAGAGGCGTATTTTCTCGTGTCATGGTTTAGGAGGAATTCAGCACAGAGTGTTCAGTGAGTAATATAAACAAGGTATAAACATGGGTGGAATTAAACATTCTCTTCAAACCAGTTCCCCCACCCCAGTACCATCAAAACAAGGGTGATTTTTCAATCATGCTAGAATTATTTCTTCATTAATTCACTCTCAGATTTTTTTTTTTTTTTTTTTTTTTTGCATTTGAGAGCTCTGGAGGACATTAGAGTTAAGCTCCATAGTGTTATTAATCTATTATGAAAATACAAATGGGAGGGAAAGAAAACAGAGACGGAGATGGAACAGCCGGGTCAGCAGCAGAAAAAACGAAAACAAAATCCTATTTCCTATGTTGCACTAAAGTAGTTTTTCAGGTAGATACTTCACACATGCACACATGCACACACACTCATACGTGATCATTCCTATGCCTGAGCTAAAGACAGACATTGCTTTTATTCTTTACTAGGTTCCTGTTGCGGTGATCCATTAATTTTGTCATGAAAGGCAAAAGAATGTAATTTCCAAGCCTGCAAAAGTTCTAGTCTTACCCTCAGGGCACCTCACTTGCAGGGTACAGTGTGCCCCTCCCCACATACACACACGAAGTCAACCTAATTCAGGGAGACGCGGCTGTGCCTCGTTCTGGAAGCAGCCGGACTGGGTTTTTGAAGCACTCTCCGCCACCGCCACGTATACCAATAAAAAAAAAGAGTCATGCAGGAAATGAGGTGTGACGCAGGCCAGCTTCGCCAAGACTCTGGACCAAGAAATAAGAATTTAAATATGAAATACTAAAATTTCACACATGACTGAAAGAAAATAAATGGCGTACCATTGAAAGCAGTTGAGGTAATTAATCAATGCTGTGTTTGTACATATCATTAAATATATTATACTCCGTTTAGATTTGATTTCTATGCTCCTTTTATAAAGAGTTAAAAGAAAATACATTTGAATTCACGCTGATACTGAAAACATGCTCCTAGCTTCTAGTTTTTTGGATTTCAAATCATTTCCATTAACAAACAGCTATTTGCCCTCTAATAAAATATGTCATTATGCTTTATTCACATTGCACAAAAGAATCACGGAAAAATCGCCCCAATGATGGCCAATAATTACACATTTTGCTCCTGTGCTAGCGATGAAGAAATCTGTTCATTGGAGAAAGCAGGTGCTGGGGCATCAAGCTAATAGTCAATGTGTGCCGTGGTAATTAGCCACTGCGATTGCTAAAATTAACAATTAGCTAACATGCAATTCTCTTTTTTGCAGGCTGCAGTTTACTTTGTATAATCCTTGCATGTTCTTAGTAATTACTCTGACAGCTTATTATTTTTATTTTTTCGGGTTTGAACACAGCTTTAACATTTGCATCGGGCGACCCAAATGTTCAACAGGCAGAAGCGAAACAACTGCTTGACTAGGCATATTTCAGAGGCGCACATTTGGTTGTTTTCTGAACTTTTCATTGTTGGGGAGGGGAGCGGTCAGGGTGAGAGCTATGATTCTTTGCAGGCTATTGTCTTTGCCCCAGGCCTTCCCCTCAGGGCAGCTCATGCGGCATCCTGAAGCTTTTAGAAGGCAAACTTCCCAGTCAGCGGCAATTTAGACTCTAGGGACCAACTCCAGGGATGAAGTGCCACAGTCAAGCTGATCAAAACATCTTCTTTTCATTCTTCTTCCCTGGAGTGTGTCTTTGGTTAATGCATTCACTGGCCCTGCACAAGACCTATCCACTTAGGGAGAAAGTGTAGCATCCTTTGTGTATTATTCTCGTCAGGGCTATATGCTGAGATAATATTGCTAGAACCTTTTAGTGAAGGCAATAAGGCCTCAGCCTACACATGAAAGAATAAAAGAAATTAAAAGGCAAGAGAGTAATTCCTTTCCAGAAAACCTACAGGAGAAAGCAATGTTAAAGAAAGCTCTCAAAGCATTTGAGGAAGATAAATTGTTGCGACAAATTTAGCCAACTGCTACTCTAAACTCTGTTTCCTACAGCGACCAACAAATGAGCACAGATTTCATGACATAAACAATACAGATGTACTATTTTAGAATTCTAGAAGGTCAGAAGTCCAAAACTGGATTTCCCAAGACTATAATCGATAGGTCACTAGGGCTGCATTCCTTTCTGGAGCCTATAAGGGAGAATGTATGTGGTTCTTTGCCTTTTCTAGCCTCTGGAGATAGCCCACACTCCTTGGCTTGCAGCCCCTCTGAAGAAGGCAATGTTGCACCTCCCTCCTTCCCATAGTCACGTTTACTTTGTCCACAGCTGGGAAAAACTCTTCAGTCCTAAAGACCGGTGTGTTTACACTTGGCTTACATGGACAATTCAGGCACAATGTCCTTCACTGAATCCTATCAACAGTGTCTCTTTGGTCATGTAAGGTAACACACTCACAGGCTACAGGGATTAGGATCTGGACATTCTCAGAGAACCATTATTATTCTATCCCACAAACCTGAGAAAAATACACATCTGGTAAGCCTGTGCTTCTCTACAGTTGTAAGTCATTGCGCATTTGATGTCAGAGGACTGGATGACTTGGGAGTAGAGTTAGGGCTGCAGCAGTGGTTTTTGGTGTTTCCCTAGCCAATAACTTTTATGGCCCTCCCGAGCTGGTTCCCTTCATTCATGCTTGTCGTGAGAGCTGGCCATGCTTTGTTGTACACCTCCTAGGCTTCTGAGTCTGGAGACTTTTATCCTTTTGATGATAACATCATGGTTCAGAGTATGGGTGTGGTCTGGCTGAAGTCTGGCTTGTAAATTGTGCTGTGTAGCAGTGTGGGCTATAGCATGTTGGCTGACTGTGTGAATGAGTAGCTGCTTCAACAGGAACTCTCAATGACTTGATGAAACACAGCCCACTGCAGCTATAACTTCTAAAAAAAAAAAAAAAAAAAAAAAAAAACAGTGACAGAGAAGCAAAACACTGGGTGCCTGGAGGAGTGCTGGGACCCTGTCCATGTCTCAGTGTGAGCTGACTACCAGTGAGCTTGAGGCAAATATTAGGGTGAGCACCGAGAATGTGGGCTTCGGCTGCGGAGGCTGAGCAGGGCCTGGCTTAGCAGGAGGTCAGGGAAGTGAGCTCTGACAGAGGTTGGGACTGGGCTTGCAGTGGTAAAACATAGCAACATGTTCTGTTTGTTTAAGTGGGAGGAAACTGGAATGAGCAGAGGCTGCCCAGAAGAGTCAAGTAGGCAGAAGCCAAACACCCTGAGAGCCGGGTAACGTTGAGTGTAAATAAGCTGAGACCACACAGTCTCAGATGGTCCTTGCAAAATGGCTAGAAGGGAGGGGGTTCGTGGTGTCAGGTTTTAAGAAATAGAAATGTGTTAGAGTTCTGCCTTATAAAATAAACCATCAAATAAATTATTGATATAGGGAGGTCCTCTTATATATTTAAAATAGAATACTATTCACCAAAAATGTATTGTCCAGCCAAGTATGATGGTGGTGTGGTATAATATAGAGTGCTGTAATTTCAAGCCCTTTGTGGGCAACTTAGTGACTTAGCAAGAACCTGTCTCAAAATGGAAAATAAAAGAGGCTGGAGATGTTGCTCAGTGGAAAAGACGTTGCCTTAGCTTCAACACCCACTACTCCCCTGCCCCCAAAGTATCATCCTCCCCCAAACACAACTGTTCTGTAAAGTAAACCAACCACATAACGTAAGGTTCTTGAAAAACATATGGACTGAGAGAACTTTTGGGAAGCACAGTGCCACATCCTAAAAATACTTTGCTAAAATCTCAAGGTGTGTGCTTCAAGTCAAGAGGTTGGCTAAGATGTGGGCACTCAAGCTGGGCAACACGCCAAGGGGAAACTCTATTCTGATGTAAAGATGTCTTGCCAGAGGATTCTGATTGCCTCACAAACAATTACGGCTTGGGCAGAGGAACTGCTTTGACTTAGAACGTGTGTGCAGCCGTTATCCTCCCAGATCCAGCACAGTGCCCTCACTGGAGACCTCACCAGTGCTCTGGGTGATTGTTTTGACAGATGGAGACAAGAAGACACACTAGATTACATAGTACTTTGGGTTCCCAGAGGCAGGTCTGAGACAGTTGGGAATAAAACCTAGAATTTCAAAATTTTACTCTGAAAATGGTCTCTTTGGGTTATAGATTCATAAGAGGGGGGTGCAGGGAGAGAAAATGTTGGCAGAAGTATGGGCATAGTGAGTAGGGGAGCAAAGCAGAGACAGAGAGAGGGCTGGTGTGAAAGGGGCAAATTTCCTGTGTGTGTTCCTTTTGTAATGAGGGGCCACATCATCTCAGGTCTTGAGCATCGTAGATTCTTAAAAAACAGGCTCCATGAGTTGAAAATGATCAAACCGTCCAGTAAATGCCATCTTGTGATCAGGAGTGACTAAGGGAGAGAAATTGCCAGAAGTTATTATAAAGTTGTATGTCTTAAATATGTAGCATTGTTATTTATCAGTATCAAATCACAGTTTTAAAGATGGGTTTACTTAGAAAGGGTGGGGGAAGGAATCATAAGAACTAGAACCAAGGAGCCATGGAGAAAAACACTTGACTTACTAGTTTTTGTGGGGGAAAAAAAAGAACAATAAAAAGAGTCAAATGTATTCGTGTTTAACGTGCTTACCTCTCAAGTGCAATCCAGGATAGAGGTATAATTCCTAGTTTCCAAAGCTAAAATCTTTGTGCCTGGCCAAGAGTAACTTGCTGAGGTTACTCAGAACCACTCCCACTCTGCCCCACCTCTGCTCTGCCATTATCCCTCAGCCTCGTTAATCACCCCTATGTGAGGAGATAGTTCTCCCCCAGAACACACGGTGTGCGTGGACAGGTCACGTGTGGGAAAGACGGAAGTAAGTGTACCGTGCTCTACTTCAGATCAATAGTGCCCAATCAAGGATAAAATGTCAAGTCAAGAGAATGAAAATGGTGGTGTGTTTATGCTGTGTGTATGCATGCCTGTGTTTTGGGGGTTCCCCAAAAGGTTTGCTCTCTTGCTTTTTGTTCAGTCTTGTTCTTCTGGTCCAATCTTTTTTCCAGTAACAAATATTTTTGATATTTTAGACACATTTATTTCTAGTAAATGAAAGCGAATAAGCACAGGATATTAGTACATTAGAGGAGAAGGGCTTCAGAAGCACCCGAGCTAGTGCCGAGAGCCAAAGCAGCGGCCACTACACTGACCCAAAGAAATCAGTTCCCTTTTGCCTTCTCCAACATCCCCTCCCAAAAAAGCCTGCAACTAAAAGAAACTTGTGAGAGATTAAATGCAATAATTATGTTATAAACTTATTTGTTAACTGTTTGAGTCTATTTGATCATTACTCAAAAAAGAATATGTAAAAATAATCTATAGTTTCAAAACCCAAAAGATATTTTGATTCTAATAAGGACCACACTATGTTTGTGTCTTGAGGTCCCATGGGTGAAAGCCAGGGTCAAGGGGGTCAAACCACCCCATGGTTTATCAGTCTGTGTCTGATGGGTCTTTTCTATTGTATAGCGTATCCAGGAGTCCTGGGTTCAAATGAGGACACTTTTCACTTGTTATGAGACCAGATTAGGAGATTACAGGCACCACTGTGAAATTTGGTTAGCGTGGAAACAGGAAATACTGTGACAGTAGTCGCTTAGGAGTAGAAGAACTTGACATTAGAAATTTAATCGTAGATGCACTAACTCTATGTGTTTTCATTCAGAAATTGTATGTAAAGAGTGGGTCACAGCTAATGTAATCTTCGTCAGTGAAATCTCAGAATCCTGTAATAGAACAAAATGCTACGGATTTTACACCTCCCCTTTAAAGCTTTAGGCAGTCAGGGTATTTTTATTGAGACTTCCAAACATAGAAATCTAATTTTTAATCTTTCCATCAAATGTCTTCATACTAGTGTTTTGAATGAGTTAATGAGTGGTACTGTTTATAGGACACAAGGTTATAATCTGAATTTATGAACTATAAAGAAAGTGCCAGTGTGCTGAGTAACTAATGAGCTTTTTAATGATGAGAAATAGATAAAGCTTTAAAATGCAGAATGCTTATCAAGGATCTCAGACAATAGCAAAGTGGAGCAATTTAGAAGTACTTACCAGGGCTACTGCTGTGACAGTGAGAAGTGAACTATTTTCTTCCATTTTAAAGCACTGTTTTTCATACATGGGAGTAATTTCTATATTTTCTTAACTAAAATTAAATGCCCTGGTATAATCCTCTTTTCAATAGAGCTCAAAATATAAATAACCTATTGATGCCACTTGTGATAAAGCAAGAGAAAATGCCTCGACAGCAGGGTGGGGAACTATCTGAATATCAACATGGGTGGTGGGATCCAGATTCTGATGAGGTCTGAGGGCTGGGATTTCACTTGCAAGCTTCCCTTGGAGCAGCCCTGCACACAGGTGTGCTACCTGCCAGAGGGAGGCAGTGCTCTGGCTGGGCTGATGCAGCTCCAGCATCTCAGGTGTTTCCCAAAAGTCATTTAGCATTCCAAGAGCGCCCTTGACATTTGCTCATGGTTGCCTCAGCTCTAGGTTCAAATCTCAGTCCTGCAGTTTCCCACTGGGTAACTTCGGGAAAATATTTTTTGATCTCCCTGAACCTTGGTTCCTTTATCTCTTATGAGAATTAGGCAGAAACCAAGCAACAGTGACTTCATCCATCTCAAAAGAACAGAACCAGGGCAGAGGAGCCAACAGAGAAGCCAATGAGAAGGGTCTTTCGGATGGTACTGGCCATTCAGCCCTGATTTGTGTGTGTGTTTCCAGCTTTCCTGGCCTTGGACTGTTCCACTCTTCCTCCTCATCTCTAACTCCCTCTCATCTCATTACTCCCTTTCAATTCTCAAATTCTTCCCCACCCTTAAGAAAAATTACCTTTATTTTAATTTGCGCAATTTTTACTTGCTATTCCTGAGTTTAATTAAAACTATTTGATGAGTAAAAAAATAAATTCTCTCACATTAGTTACTTATAATTTATATTTGGATTTGCTTCATATCTTGTGTTAACTTAGGCTTTCTAGGCAAAACACAGCACAACCAGTTAAATTCTATTTTGTGTAAGCAAGAAATAATCATTTAACTCAAGAATGGTTTGTGCAATAATTCTGTTTTGATTTTCTGAATCTGGCAACTCTAGTTAACTAAATATGAATTAGATTCTCTTTTCTTTGTCATCCTCATATTTTTATTAGACCCCAGAGAGATTTCACTTATTCAGTTGTATGCCTTCTTGTACATTTGTCTGATTCTAATAATCAAACTCCTATATGAAAAAGAAGCATGATGTATTGTTTGTTCCATTTTGCTTTTGCCATGGTCTCCTCTCGCCATGTGTCAAGGTGTATGGCCTTGACCTACATATTCAGGAGTCTTCTACAAGCGGAGGCGTTCTTGAGAAGGTTTCGAGGACATCCATGTGGATAATTATGTACAGTGAGGTCAGGTCCAGAACACCACCAACTGGGTACTTACGATGTTTATTTCTCCTTTATTTTCCTTCCCTAGGGCTACGATGATGGGTTGTTGGTCAACTGATGAATTATTGGAAGAGTCTATTACTGCAGGAGACCATAGGCCAGTAGGTTTATGAATATGGCTCAGGAGCCCCATGTATATAGAGGGGAAAATGATCACTTTATTTTTATAACCTTTTTTCAGTTATAGATGCAGGAAACAAAAACATTTGTTCTCAGTACCTGGCTGTGTTATTCAGAGAAATGAGAGATTTCAAAAATAACACATTAAAATAACAAACATAAACATCCAAAATTTAATTGTTCATTATTAATTCAACATTTCAGGAGCTGGTAGACCTATTCATGATCTGTTGTTTAAGCAATAAGCTAATAATAATAAAGAACTTTCCCGATATAAATTTGTTTTTATAACTTTATTTCAGTATCATTGGTTTTCTTTGTAATACTGCATACTTTATTTTCTGCACTTAATAATATTACTCTGAGACTAAGAATGAGCTCCATGGTAGAGCATGTATTTAGTATGCAAGAGGCCTGGGTATAGTCCACAACACACACTCACCCACACACTCACACCCCTCAAACACACACGAAGGTAAGAACTGGCACCAAAGACAACTTGAGTTCATGTATACATAATTTACTTTCCCAAACCAACTATTTCCAGAGCAAAAGGGCATAAACTATCTTCCTTTTCTAAGTGCATACTTAAAACTGCAGGCTGCCCTGTTATGGTTTATAAGTTGTCTTTAATATTCCTCTTAACTTAAATTGTAGCTGCTTAGAAATTTTTTGAGGGGGAGTAGATTTCTAGAGGAAAAGTACAAAGGCTTTGGAAACGCCCACAGGAGTAAAATCGATAAAAGAAAAAGAACTAAAACCAGTCCAAGTTTACTTTCCTTGCTAGTTCTGTTTTCCAACCTCTGACAAACAGTGTCGCTACAAAATCCAACGTAGCACAAAGGCCACTTTGAAGAATAATATTCAATATGTAAATAATTTGGATAACATAGCAAAGGTGGGTTATTTGTAGCAACTGCTGAGCGTTTGCTATTTTGCAACTTAGCAGGAAAAAACTCACTATACACAGCCTGGTTGGTGAAGTTGAGAGCTTAGGAAAGGATGGGCCTGGCTTAGGAAGGAGGTAACTGATGCAGAGAAAAGGAATCTTTTACTGCCCAAACCTCTTTGTTATTTGTGAGCTTCCAAGGGCTCAGGGAAGGTCGTGGGGAGGCTGGGGGCCTAGAGATGGGGGATTTCATGCTGGAAAATGGGTTGCTTGCTGGGTGGGAAGTGGGGGTGCCCGATCTTGGCTTGGGAGGGTGGGTGGGGGCACTTGATGAATGCCTAAGGGTTGGACCGGGAGAATAAAAGCCACGAAGGGACCGTCTCATTAAAGAATCCATTTCCCATTTTCAGCAGTTTGCTACATTAACAAGCTGAGCTGTGAAAGGATTAGATCCGCTAAGTGAGTGCCTGTTCTGTGCACCATTGCAAAACACATTTCAGAAAGCAGTGGATTCGCCTTAAATGAGTATCTGCTGGAGGAGCAAAGCCCTAGGAAAACAAAGGGGCACGCCAGGGTAAGCTAATAATTCCTGCTGTGCTTTGAGGGCAATGAAATGACTGCAGCCCTGAGAACTTTTTCTCCCTCCCCTGCAGTTGGTATAAACATAAGAGCCATTTTGATGATCATATCGACACCTCAGCAACAAGTGCTTCCCAGTTGCCAACAAAATGTCACTTCCCAAAGGGTTAAATGAACCAAAAGACCTCCACCTCAAATATTCTTTTTCTGCACACATTTAGTATGCATACCTATTAAACAAAACAATGGGCATAGATTCATATCCTGTCTACAAATAATCAAATGATACAAGAACAAATCTACCACCAGCTGCTTCGTCCCA